GCAAAACTTGCTGGGTAGAGAGTGGTGGTAAAATTTGGGGTGAGGCTGCAACAGTAAAACTACTTGCAGGCTAATTTCACCATTGCTGAATAGCAGAACAGATTCCCAGGACATTGCGCATCATTTGCAGGTGTCAGGGAGCTGCTGTCAATTTGTGGGAGGCTCTCATTACTTCCAGGAGAGGTGGGATGACTGTGGATGCAGTTATGGTCACACAGATCAAAGCGGTATGCAATACAAAAAAAGAAATCTAGTAAAACAAAGACCTGTCACAGCATTCTTTCAAACAGCAAGTAATGTAAGTAGAGGTAAATTTTATATAGGCTTAATCTATATCAAGCTTAGGTTGCGTGCAATTGTCAACATAATTTTCTCCATATCTCTGATAGGCTAATTTAGGTAATGGCTTCATCTAAGTTTCACTTATCATGCTATTATATCTGTTAGAATAAAGCAATAAATCTACGAATGTGTCCTCACATAATATGTAACATTACAGCATACTGAGGCTCAGTAAATTTAAACTTTCAACACATTGTAGAGAGGGCGATCTGTTGTTTATTCTATTGTCCAATAGGCTATTGGTGGGTGATTGGGAATTCCATACCTGTGGGGCTATTATTGTAGCAAAATTATTTGCAAATGTGTAACGAGAGTGTGGCTGTATCTCAATCCATGTGTGTGTAATCAGATTTTTGAATGTGTACAGGAATCTATAAATGTGTATTCTGAATCCGTGTGCGTAATCAGATTTGTAAACCTGTAAAAGAATCTCTAAATGTGTAATGAGATTTGCAAGCGTACTGACATTTGTACGTGTATAGATAAATCTGTAAATGCATGCATAGATCTGTGAATACATAGAAAAATCTGTAAATGCGCTGTCCCACTCGCAAGCTTTTGAGGGCCTAAGTGTGGAACGCTATTGGTATAAACCGTAAAAAAAATACCTCACGACATGGAATGCTGAATGATGTGTCTCAACTATATGAATTATATGCTGAATTATATGTCTGACTTGGAACAAATTAAGTTAAAATCAGCAAAGCAGTCAAGGCCGGAGTAGGACTGAATTTTTAACCAGGATTTATGACACTATATGTTTTGATTAACATAACCATTATCTAGGCTACTGAACGCACATTAGCACCAGTACACTTCAATTTTGCACTTATATATATAATATATAATTACAGGAGGCTTCAGGCTCTTATTGCATGCTCCTTAAAAGGACAAATATTGAAAAACTTACTCGAATGAGTGATAGGTACAAAATTTACAGTAAGCACTGAGGCTGACCTCCTTCACATTGTACATATATGGACAGATGTTAAACACTGTGACAGTGTTGCTAAAGTATACATATAGAGAAAGCCAGGAGAATCATTTGAGGTTGATCACATTGGAGATGAAAATGGCACTATGGAATTACACCCTATATCTTTGATCTGCCTTCAAAAAATTCACTTTCACAAGAAAAAAATGCACCACTGCCCCCAGTTGCCCTATGCTAACTGTCTGCCTGTCCTGTAGATGGGTGCTTGCTTTTCCAAAGTCTTTGATGGCTGTCCATTGAAAATTAACTGTGCCACATCATGGATTCACCCTGATACAAAAGGTAAGCATTCTCAAATGAGTCCTAAAACAGCATTTTGTGCCATAAAAGCAAAAAGTAAAAGTACCTTTAAAAAGATGGATTGCTTTGTGGGGATGTGCTTGAAGATCCCTTACACAGTCAGTTGTCATTTTGGAGTCTTGTTCCTTAAAGGGTAGAAAAACAAACCGAAATGTTTTCCAAGATGAGACTATTTGAAATTCTCTGCAGAGTTTATTTAAACTGCAATAAAGCATTTTATTTCTTATCAGACCAATACCTTATTTTTGGGACTGAAGATGGAATTTACACACTGAACTTAAATGAGTTGCATGAAGCCACAATGGAGCAGGTGAGATATCAGTTTTGGAATATTTTCTTGTTTACTTTTGGCATTTTTTGAACTCATTTTGTGGATTTTTTAGTTTTATTGTCTCAGACAAGAAATGTATATCTAATTGTATTTGCATGTAAAACAGATCCTCAGTGTTGCTATTTTTTGGTCTTTTAGCTGTTTCCAAGGAGATGCACCTGGCTTTATATTATCAACAATAACCTGATGTCTTTATCAGGTAAGAAGGGTGCTAACAGTGCCTCTCACTGGACATATTAATGAGACCTAAATGATAAAAGATTACTTACAATATTTTCATTGCGTAATTTTGTCAAATTATAGACAATTATATGTAGAAATTTGGAGGTATAGCAGCAGATAAAAAAAAGATTGCACACAAATATGTTCTCATACAGACTTTTATCTTTGGTAAAAATTATTATAGTTTCACTGGTTTCTCTGTAGCAGTCCCTCCAGAATTTTTAGTGTGATTCTGCGATTGCAGAAATTAATGCAAAATCCGGCAAACTGTAATATCTGCAAGAGCTTGCAGTTTTTCAAATTTAAAACAGCTTTTATGTAAGAAATTGCTAAATCTAAAGACCTCTTGCATTTGGACATGTTCAGTGATGCAATCTTAGTGCGCATTTTTGTGTGTGTTTTTGCTATGCTCCTTTGCAGGGATGTGAAGCACAGCAAACACAATGCATCAACTTTTGGGTACGGTAAATGAGATGTAAGTTGTTAGGTTGAGGCATTTGGACACCTATGTGCATTTAAGTCAGTGTCAGAATGTGCTTAAGGGTCAACTACATGAAACACACCCACATTTTGGTGTTTCTTCACTCAAAGTGCATATTTAGTGCACAGATCAACAAAGTCTACATAAAACAAACAATGGGAACATGAAACAGTAAAACAAACAATCGAAAATGAAACTAAACATTTTTCTGGAATAACTCACAGTTCTTGCTAGAATAACTCACAGTCACTTCCGTGGATGTTAACCAGCCTTTAATAATAAAGACACAGAGCCATGGCTCAATGAAAAATACAGTGACCAGGCGAGAGCCAGCAGAAGACCAGATGTGCACAATGTAACATGTGAATCTGTACCATAAACAATCTAATATATAAAATCAATAAGCTGCTGTCCAGTGAAAAACATGTATCTTCAAAAATTTATTTCAGGAGCATGAAAATACACATTTTCTCTGAAACTGCTTTACAGGATAAACCTAAAACAGTGTACTGAGACAACCTTAGCAGCACAAATATAAAAACATACACAGCCATCAGTGAACACTTTAATGTTTTAAATGGACTTGCATGGATTGTTGCCAGCAAATATTTCAGTGTCAATAAGGCACAAACTAATCTTGCTTTATACACTTACAAATAACAATGAAGTTAGTCAGCTAGATATCTAGCAATACATGCTAAACTGTTAAAATAAGTGATATAAAGTAATCACAAGAACAACCACTATGAATGCAAATGTTAACTAGTACAAACATAAATACTATTTAAATAGATGACTTCATAACACATATTTTCATTGGTCAATTACATATCATAATGCTATCAGTAGACAGAGGATAATAAGTCACAATCATCAAAAAGTGGACATACACGATTTTTGGACAGCAACGATATATACATATATTTTAGGGCTGTGAATCAATTTAAAAAATAAGTCACACAGTTTTCTGTGATTAACCACGATTAATTGTGTCTAACATTCAAATTTGATTCAAATCATATATATTTACATACTGAAGGGTCACATCTCCCATGTATGTAAGTCAAAAAAGTGCTTTGACATAAGCATATTGAGTTAAGTGTAGGGTTTAAGTGCACTAAAGATGCACTTTGAGTGAAGAAACACCAAAATGTGGGTGTGTTGCATGTAGTTGACCCTTAAGCACATTCTGACACTGACTTAAATGCACATACTGTAGGTGTCCAAGCTGATAAGTGGAAAATATACTTTTACTTTTTAAGCACTTTTTGACTTAAGTGGTTGATGGGAGAATTGACCCGAATCCCTAAATGAGTATAGAATTAAGACATTTGAAAGTATATGAGTCATTCTCATTCTCTTGTTCTAATTCTCTCGTTGCATAGCATATTCACTTTCTCTGTTTTTTAAAATTAGTTTGAAGACAGACTTACATTGTGCACTCCCATTATTTAAGTTGTCGATTTTGCCTCTGAGGGTGTTAATTCTGTAATAAACAGAAGTATTTCATCAAATATGGGGCAAGTGTTATGGAAAAACAATGACAAAACTAACCAAAAACTGAGCAAAAACATACAGTACCAGTCAAGCGTTAAGACACCCCCCGGTAAAAAGGTTTATTTGTATTAATTCTAAAGACATCTAAACTATAAAATATGACATGGATTATGCACAGACCAAAACAATAATTAAACAAAAAAAAATGTTGGGGAGTGGGGCAACTCTGTAAATTGGGACTTAATCATACTGTTTAATGAAACAGCAAAAGAAAATCAATATATATTAAGTATAGAACAAATCTTATAATTAAAGAAATTAAAAAATGAAAATTCATTATCATAATTAAGCACATACTGTAATTGAAAGGACATTTGGATTACGGAAAATATATCTGAAATGACATATTTAGATGTCAGGTGGAACATTTCATTGCAGCCCTCAGAAGGTCGCGGCATTCTTTGTGGCATGTTGCATAACATTGCCATGCGTAATGGATGTCTTTTGGACATAAACGGGGACACATTAGAGGACTTTAGAAGGCGTGACACTGCAGGCTGCCAACAAAGGAATGTATGCTGGCAGCAGCATGGGCAAGGAGGGATCAGCTGGCAGAAAAGCTGAATCGTCTATAACCTGGTAAGGAATCTAAATTGTGAGAGTAGAAAAATAACAGCCCTACTGCATTTTATTTGAACATTTTAAGACATCTTAAAAGCTGTAGGTTGTGTTTTGTTTGAACAAACATTGCACTTTTATTTTGCGAACTGCAGACCCAAAATGAACATACAAGCATAATTAAGTTCTTGTTGAGCAGCGAGCTTCTGCTTTCCCCATGTTCTGACATCATTATACCCCTTTCGGCATGCGCAGATGATCTGGTGATGCCAGAAAACGAGGACAGGCTCGAAAGGCTTAGGTGTTGGTCCCGTAGATGATGCAGTCCCGCCTTTTTACCTCACACATGAGCATTTCCATTTCCTTGGCCGAAAATCAATCTGGCTTGCTGGGCAAATGCTCCGTTGTGATGGCAATCCACAGTAGATCATGCGCTGCTGCCTTTTAAAGGTGAAGTGACGTGCCATTCTGATTGGTTTATTGCTTTTTATGCCCAAAACACGCCTCTAAATAATTAGAGTTAGGACAATAAACACCCCTATAACTGTTAGTTCCGCTTTGGGATTTACTCTTTGCATTAGATCCTGAAAATATTGTCTACCAAATCAGTGCAACGAATGACATAATTTTAATATACCTAAAAATCGTCAATTCTAATGTCAGAATTGTCAGTTACTCTACACAAAAAACAAATAACTGTTATTTTTTTCCAAAAATTCTCAAGTTTGTGAGAATGACCCAGATTTTATTTGTTTAATGGTTTGACTTGTAATGTACTAATTATTCATTTCCAACAAGGATAAATACAACTTGTAACTTGCAAGCATTGTATTATAAGTAAGGATTTTCTTTTGTTTTAATTGCACAGGTTGACAAGTAATGGCATATAACACATACATGTTATATCCTCCTGAGACCCCACCCATTCATTTATGTCCATTGTAGTGGACATTTTATTTTTGCATCTATCTTTTCACTGATGTTAGGAAACATATTTATTCCTGTTGTACACTAAAGAGGACATGCTGTGAAATTAAAAATAAAAATAAATATGAAAAAATCTAGATATATGTAAGATGTCTTATTTCCTCCAAAGACAAATAACCTAAAATTGAAGAACACTTTTTTCCTTGGGTCTCAGGAGGATATAATATGCAGAGATATATATATATATATAAAAGAAAATAGTCTTTAGTTGTTAAGCCATATATACAGAATATGACTGAGGCCGTGATTCTTGAATTCATATAGGAAATAAAAATGTAATGAAACAACCACAAAAAAATCCTGTAGGGACTGTACTGTTAGTGATACTGTTCTGTGTTGCTATTAGTCTCTAAGTTAATTTTTTTTAACTTACCTGAAATAAATGATGCTTCTTTATTTTGTGTACAATTTGTGTCAACCTTGCCTGACTTGACTGATTCATCTGCTTATATGTCTTCGGCTTCAACAGAAGGTAATTGTACTCATTTAAATGCCACCCCAATGCTTGAATGTCACAGTCATTTTTTTAATTAAGGTACAAGCATCCTCTACTATGAAGAAAGGCTAAATTTGTAAAGGGAACTGGAAATATTTCGGCTTCTGATAACATGCATAGTGCATAAATCTTACTGAAAGACTAAATGATGATCAGTATGGATAAATTCATTCAGTTTACAAAATCCTGTCTGTTTTCTATTACAACTATATATTTACTGAAGTAACTTCATTTCAAAAGTACTGTGATTTTATCGACACACCACAGTTTATCCACGTGTTTTTTTGCTTTTAGAGGACTCCACATACTAATGTTTTTTTTTAGGTGGAAATGCTTATATTTTTCCTCCTTTATGACTATTCCAGGAAAGACCTTTCAGCTATATTCCCATAACCTTGTTGGACTCTTTGAACAACTGAGAAAGCCAGGCTTAGCGGCACAATTTCAAACTCATCGCCTTCCAGACAAGATCTTGCCCAGGTAAGCAATGAACATATACATATACACTCACCTAAAGGATTATTAGGAACACCTGTTCAATTTCTCATTAATGCAATTATCTAATCAACCAATCACATGGCAGTTGCCACGTAGAATTAAGGCAGTTCTGAAGGCGAAAGGGGGTCAAACACCGTATTAGTATGGTGTTCCTAATAATCCTTTAGGTGAGTGTATAACATACAGTACAACATTCAATTTCTTGGATAATTCTTCAGCAGAAATTGTGGAGAGACCACTGATTTGACATCCCATTCTGCACTCTTGTCTTTTTAACACTGACGTTTAAATCCAGGAGGTTTGCCTTGACAACCAAAATTCCTGATACAAAGGGCTGTCATAAGTGCTGTATTGGTAAGTACTGAAGTCATTTCTTTTTCTTACCCTTTCATTTTCGAGGTTGTCACCCTGGTTATGTTCTGTATAAATATGCAGTGTAAATGTGTTATTTGTTATCTGCTGTTTTACTGCATATAAAATAGGACAGTGCAGGGTCTGTGCTTAAGGTCTGTGCTTAATGAGGTCCCAATCCCTACCAGTGAGAAATCCCTACACAGGACACAAGTACCTGTGTGGGGCCCTGCAATCTGGGATAGTCCTGCTCCAGTGGTACGAGCCCATGCAGAGGTTCATGCTTATAAAGGTTAGTCTAAAATGTTATTCCCAGTATTTTATTATGAATTTGTCAGATTTTCTTATGAACTGAAGATAGTGCTTTGCATACTGAAAAAGTGATATAATTATGAAGTTAAAATTGAAAACATTAACTTCAGTGAGTGGATCATCAAGTATGTGTGATATTTGGTTCCTTGAGGAGCAGAGGAAGATTGGTAGGATTGATAAGATTGAATTTTGACTCTCCTGTTCAGGGACAGATAATACTAGTAACACACATTTTTAGTGTGAGAGGGTTGGGGAATCTACCTAAAATAAAGTCCAATTGCAAAAAGAAAAAAAAAAAACACTAGAAACACATGTACTCACCAGCCATTTTATTGGGAATACCTGTACATCTGCTTAAATACAATCATGGGGCAGCATGTATATATATAAATTTATATATATATATATACACATACAGCTGTGGAAAAAATTGAGACCACTGTTTTTAAACAAATCTGCATTTTTAAATCGTGGTTTAATTGTGATTCTGCTGGCTACGCTGAGCAGCAAAATGCTTTCAGGTAAAAATTTTCTGAGACAGCGGTACACAAACATAAGGTGAAGCAGGAGACACCGGGAACGACCAAAAACCAGCCAGGTACAGGGCAGAAGCGACATTCTAATGCCAGAGATGACCGTTAACTTATCCGACAGTTTCTTATGAATCGAAGGATGATATCAAGTGAACTTCAAAAGGAATGGGAAACATTAAGTGCAGGTGCGAAGTGCACTGCTAGGACAGTTTGTATCAGGCTCCTAGAAGCAGGACTGAGGTCCCATAAAGCAAGGAAGAAGCCCTTCATTAATGAGAAGCAGGGAAGAACCATGCTACAGTTTGCAGGAAAATATATATTATTCAGAGATGCACACCCATAAATTAAGAAATGAGTGAAACAAATATTGTGCTCTGGTCTCTTAATTTTTTCCGCAGCTGTATATATATAGCACTCAGTGTATGTATCTTGCCTGACTTGCAGCATTTGAAAAATTATTAAATCCAGATTACTGGGGATGAAACAAACAGAACACTGACAAAGCAGTCGGGGTTAAATGGAACTGATGATCTTCTTCAGCACAGAGAGAAATTCCACCTCCCATCCCACAATATTGTTAGTCTGATGACTTTACTTTTGAGGTCTTATTGTGTATACTTCATATTTATTGCCTTTTATATTTTGCAGCATTTTGATTTTCCACTGCCCAGCCCTCTTAAAGTATTTGAGATGCTAGTGGTTCCAGAGCAAGACTACCCACTGGTATGCGTCGCTATTAGCCAAGGCAGTGAGCCTGGTCAGGTGGTTCGCTTTGAAACCATCAACCTTAACTCCTCTTCATCCTGGTTTACAGAGATGGGATCAGGTACTACTTGTAAATCTTTTTCACAAATTCACATGCATTAGTAAATGTTCAGCAGAGGACTTTTCAACTTATTTTTAATTATATTGTAGGTGGACATCAAGTGGATGCAATCCACGTAACTCAACTTGAGAGAGACACTGTTCTGGTTTGTTTGGACAGTAAGTATATCAATAGAAGTAGCCTACATTTAGATTACTTTTTCATGACATTTTTAGCTTTAATATTAAGTTTGTCAGTACCATATTGTGGGAAATAATTACTTTAAGATTCTAAGATAAAAGAGTTTTGGAAAAACTATTTTTTATTAAAATTCTATTTGCAGATAACAGTGACCCCTGATAATGGATAATCACATTTAGCCTTGTATATCACTTATTATTTTCCAACTGTCCACCCATTAACCAGAACCACTAATTTATAGTTTATAATAGGAAGCAGCACACGCAATATAGGGTAAATCTTGGGCATGACTGCCTGTACATTGGGGGACATTCAGACATCCATCCGCTAATAGGGATATCAACCCAACTGATGTAAACCAATTGTCTTTGGTGCTTGAGCAGAAACAGGTACAGTGAGGAAAATAATTATTTGACCCCCTGCTGAATTCTTAAATTGACCCATTAATAAAGAAATGAGAAGTCTATAACTTCACTGGTAGGTTTATTTTAACAGCAAAAGATAGATAGATCAACAAAACAAGCCAGAAAAATCATTATGTAACAGTTACAAAATAATTTGTCATTTATCTAGGGAAATTTGATCCCTTGGAACACATGCTTTAGTACTTGGTGGAATAACCATTGTTGGCAAGCACAACTGTCAGATATTTCTTGTAGTTGGTCACCAGGTTTGCACACAGCTCATCAGGAATTTTCATCCACTCCTCTTTGCAGATTTCCTCCAAATCTTTAAGTTTTTTAGGCTGTCACTTGGAGACACAAAGCTTGAGTTCCCTCCATAGGTTTTCTATGGGATTAAGGTCCGGTGACTGGCTAGGGCACTCCATGACCTTAATCTGCTTCTTCTTGAAGCAGCTTAGGGTTGTTGTCTTGCTGGAAGACCCACCCACAATGCATTTTCAGAGCCCTGGCTGAAGGAAGGAGGTTCTCTTCCAAGATTTTATGCTACATGGCCCCATCCATCTTTCCTTCGATGCAGTGCAGCCGTCCTGTACCCTTGGCAGAAAAACACCCCCAAAGCATAATGCTTCCACCTCTGTGTTTGACAGTAGGGATGGTGTTCCTGGGGTTACAGTCTGCATTCTTTTCCCTCTAAAAACAGTGATTAGAGTTGATGCCAAACAGTTCGATTTTGGTCTCATCTGACCACATCACATTCTTCAAAGCCTCATTGGAATTATTCTGGTGTTCACTGGCATACTTGAGATGGGTCTGAACATGAGCCCTCATGAACAGGGGTACTTTTTGAGCACTGCAGGATTTCAAACTATAGCTGCATACTGTGTTACCAATGGTTTTCTTGGCAACCGAGGTCCCTGCTGCTTTGAGATCATTAACGAGCTCCTCCTGTGTAGTTCTGGGGTTAGCCGTCACTGTTCTTTGATCTCATCATTGATGCCGCACAAGATGAAATTTTCCTTGGGGCCCCGACATCCAAGGTGATTGACAGTTAATCTGTCGTTCTTCCATTTGCAAATAATTCCAACAACAGTTGTCATTTTCTCGCCAAGCTGCTTGCTGATGGTCATGTAGCCCATTCCACCGTTGTCAAGGTCAACAGTCTTGTCTCTGACATCCTTAGACATCTCTCTGGTATCTCTGATGCTGATAAGATCAAAGAGCTAGAAAGGTTAGTGACAAAGAATACTCTTTAAACAAAGTAATGCCATTAAATGTGAATGCTGGCTTGGAATCTGTTAATATTTAAGTAAGTACTACTTGTGTTGTGTTAATGTGTTAATTTCTTGCTGACTTGTAGGGGATCAAATACTTACTTCCCTAGATAAATTACAAATTGATTTGTACCTGCTACATGATGATTTTTTCTTGTTTATTTTGTTGAAAATGTATCTTCTGATGTTGAAATAAACATACCATTGAAATTGTAGACTTCTCATTTCTTTATAAATGGTTGAACTTAGGAATTCAGTGGGGGGGTCAAATAATTATTTCCCTCACTGTATACACTGATAATCAATGTAAACAGTATTCAAATTCCACACTACACTACTACCTTCTTTCACCTATCAGTGTTATTGCATTTCTTTGCAGACAATTTGAAAATAGTTAATCTGCAGGGGAAGCTGAAATCAAACAAAAAGCTTGCCTCTGAACTGAGCTTTGATTTCTGCATTGGTTCTGTTGGTAAGAGTGTACTTTTATACAAAATATTTACATGTTTTTTAAATGTTAAATTTCATAGCATTGTTTGGCTTGTTTAATTTTAAGACTTTTACCTTTCTTTCTTGTCAGTATGCCTTCAGGATAGTGTGTTGGCTTTCTGGAAACATGGCATGCAGGGAAAGAGCTTCAAATCTAATGAGGCAAGTACATGATCCTTTCCAGTTTATGTTGATTTTCCTCAGCCTTCATTTGACTTCTAAAATGAAAATGAAGCACAGTGATTCTGAAGAGTATATTGCATCATTAAAGCCAATAGACTTTTGACCATAAGTACTGTGATGACCTGAATTTAGGTTGTTTTTCTTTTCTTCAAAATACATCTGAAAAAGTGGTGTCGTCTAGACAAAAAATAGAATAGATGCTGCCAAATATATTTTTAAGGAGTGTTTTGACTGACCCTGGCTGGGCCGCTGCTATTATTTAACCAATAGTGTCTGTTAATAAAGATAGTAACATTCATTCACTGTCAAATTTGTTAATTTGGCTCAATCTTTCTCCGCAATACATTTTTTTATCCTCTTCATGTGGATCTGCTGCATAGAAAACATTGTGTCCGCAAGGGTTGTGGAGTTTGCAATATTTGTTACCGACCCGGGGCGACCCCTCCCAAATAATACATTTGATTTTTGCAATGTTTGCTGTTTATTACACTTATTGTAATCCAATTGCCTGTCATTGCTTTTTAAGATGTGGTTCTTGGTTAACTTTTTATATGTTCTTGTCAAATAAAATTATTTCTCTTTAGAAAAGTAAGATTAGGTATTCCAAAAACTTTTTCTCTAAAAGTTGCCAAAAAGTGGGGGGTGATCTTACAGTCAGTCGTCTTATATTTAGGCCAATACAATATTAGGTTCAAATTCCAATACTGTACTGCTGAGGCCTCAATTTTGGGATGTATTCCAATTAATCATAATGTGTTTCAGTTCCAAAAACTGAATGACACATTATGACAACAGTGATGTTTATGACAACAATCATAAACATCAATAATGTGTCATTAATGTGCATGACATGTGTCATGTCATTCTTATGACGGTTACATGTCACCCTTATGTAGACTGCTTCAAGTGAAGTGTTACCAAAAATTTAAAGAACTGAAGTTTGAATTATGTTTGAAATAGGCTTGCCTTAATGTGCTATACTGTCACATGAATCTGGATCTATATTTGTGTTGGATAACAAAATGTCAGTGGTTATGAAAATTTCATATTAGTGCTACATTTTACCACTGCAGGAAGGAGTGTATCCTAATTTATTGAGCATTTATTCTCTCTATGTCTCCTTTAATAGCTGATTGCATCTGTTCAAATAATATATTATTTCTATTTTTTTATTTAAGCTCATGGTTCCTGTCGTCCATATGAAAACTTACCTGTCTCTGGTTACCAATCAAAGAAGTGATGTGCATTTTGCCCTGTGGTTGCTAATCCCACTTTGAAATATCACAGTAATTAAAATCAGCAAAAGGGTTGAAATGCTATAGAAGTGCCCTTGATGTATAATGCTGACAACACAAATCATTATTGTATAAAACTCAGAGAGCACATTAGCTCTTGTGGTATATCTGAACTCCAGCTACGCTAATATGGGCAAAAGTTTTGGGACACACCTCTTAATCATTGAATTTGGATGTTTCATTCAGACCACAGATGTATCATATCAAGTACCTAGCCATGCAGTCAGGTTTACAAACATTTGTGAAAGTCAGCTCCAGTGAAGAGAACCCTTAATGCTTCAGCATGCAAAGATATTTCTGACGATTCAGTTTCAAACTTTGTGGGAACAGTTTGGGGAAAGCCATTTTCTGCTCCAGCATTACTATGCCCCAGTGCACAAAGCAAGGTCCATAAAAACTGATTGAGTTTGATGTGGAAGAACTTGACTGGCCCGCAAAGCTCTGATCTCAACCCCATTGAACACCATTGGGATGGAGATTGTGAGCCAGGCCTTCATGTCCAACATCAGTGCCTGACCTCACAAATCCTCTTCTGAATGAATGGGTTAAAATTTCCACAGACACTCTAAAATTTTGTGGGAAAGCTTTCTCAGAAGAGTGGCAGCTGTTATAGCTGCAAAGGGGGACCAACTCCTTATTGATGCCTATGAATTTAGAACTGGATGTAATTTAGGACCAGATAGGCAAGAAAAGAGGCAGTGTTGCAGTATACAGCGATAGAAAAAAAAATAAGAAATCACTCTATATTTTTAAACATCTGTATTTAAACATCTGCACTGAATCTAGGAAGCTGCAACAAAGGGGGTTTACTAATGATATTAAGAATAAAATGAGGAGGAAAAGGGCTCTCTTCCACAAATAGAAAATAACAAATGATGTCGAAATAAAGCAGCAAGTCTACAGGTTGTGTTAAAAAAATAATATTAAACTGGCTAAGAGGAATGTCAAAAGGAAGATTGCAATGGAGGCTAAGGATGACATTAAAAGTTTCTTCCCATATTTTAACTCCGAAGTCACTAATCTGCAGAATAGTATGGTTCTTATAATTGAAAATGAAATTGATATAGTTAATGAGTTTAATGATTGTTTTGTATGGGTTTTCAGTGTAGAGGACATGAGTAACATATCGACTCTTATTCCTAATCCAGCTTTGTCTTTGACCAATATATGTATAACTCTAGCTGATATGCTACAAAGCGTAGCTGAGCTCAAAATAAATAAATCGCAGCGCCCCGATGGCATCTTGCCTACAGTTTTAAAAGAGATGAGGGGTATTATTTGCCGTCCTTTAACTTTGCTATTTCAGAAATCTTTATCTGCTAGTGTGGTACCATCTGATTGGAAGCATACTAATAAAATGTCCATATTCAAAAAAGGGGATTGAAACTATAGGCCAATGGAAACTAAAATCCAAGTGAAAATGGTAGATTACCTGAATTCAACATTCTGAGGGATAGCTAACATGAATTTGATGCTGTTTAACAAATATGCTTCAGTTATTTGGGGAAGCTACAGGTGAAATTGATTATAAAAATACCTACGATGTAATCTACTTAGATTTCCAGAAGGCCTTTGACGTTGTCCCCCACAAATGGCTCTTGCTTAAGCTCAAACAGCAGGGATTTTAGGAACTGTAGCAGCTTTGATTGAAAACTGGTAAACAGGCAGGAAGCAGTAGGTCGCTCATAGTGGGGTACCCTAGGGTTTGGTTTTAGGACCACTATTATTCCTAATTTACATAAATGATACACAATAATATATACAGTAAATTGGTTAAATTCGCAAACACCAAGGTGGGTGGTGTAGCAGACACCGAATTAGCGGCACAGAGGCTACATCGGGATCTTGATTTAATTGGTGACTAGGCTGATACCTAGCAGATGAAATTTAATGTAGACGAATGTAAGGTAATCCATACAGGGAGCAGAAATATAAAGTACAGATATTTTATGGGTTCCACTGAAAGGAAGCTGATTATGAGAAAGACCTTGGTGTGTATTTTGATGCCTCCATGTTCCACTCTCACCAGAATGGGGAAGCAATTAAAAAGGCCAATAGGATGTCAGGTTACATCTCTAGATGTGTTATTGTGTGTAGGTTTGGTAAGCTTGTAGGTTGTGTGTAGGTTACTACGTTGCTGCCTTAGAAAGGGTTCAACGTAGAGCTACAAGAATGATTCCTGGTCTGAGAGGAATGTCTTATGAGGAGAGGTTAACTGAGCTAAATATGTTCAGCCTCAAGCAAAGGAGGCTAAGGGGAGACATGATCCAGGTATATAAGATTCTAACAGGTCTGGATGCTGTTCAACAAAATAGCTACTTCAGTATCTACAAGAATCAAGGCCATAGGTGGAAATTAGTGGGAGAACATTATAAAATGAATTTGAGAAAGCACTTCTTTGGATGGAGGTTACTGATCTCTGGGGCGGAAGTCGCTGAGGTGATTAAAAAGCTCCTTGGTTGTCCGGGCCCCGGGGGTGGATGAGATACGCCCGGAGTTCCTTAAGGCTCTGATGCTGTGGGGCTGTCCTGGTTGACTTGCATCTGCAGCATCGTGTGGACATCGGGGGCAGTGCCTCTGGACTGGCAGACCGGGGGGACCAGAGGGTGTGGTCCAACTATAGGGGGATCACACTCCTCAGCCTGCCTGGTAAGGTCTATTCGGGGGTTCTGGAGAGGAGGGTCGGATTGTCCGTCGGATTGTCGAGCCTCGGATTCAGGAGGAGCAGTGTGGTTTTCGCCCTGGCTGTGGAACAGTGGACCAGCTCAGCACCTCAAATCTGAGACCATGGTCCTCAGCCGGAAAAGGGTGGAATGCTCTCTCCGGGTCCTTCCCCAAGTGGAGGAGTTTAAGTATCTCGGGGGAGTTTAAGTATCTTGTTGACGAGTGAGGGAAGGATGGAACGGGAGATCAACAGGTGGATCGATGCGGCGCCAGCAGTGATGCAGGCACTGCATTGGTCTGTCATGGTGAATAAAGAGCTGAGCCAAAAGGCAAAGCTCTCGATTTACCAGTCGATCTACATTCCTACCCTCACCTATGGTCATGAGCTATGGGTAGTGACTAAAAGAACTAGATTGTGAGTACAAGTGGCCGAAATGAGTTTTCGCCGCATGGTGGCTAGGCTCTCCCTTAGAGATAGGGTGAGGAGCTCGGTCATTTGGGAGAGACTCAGACAATGCTCCTCCGCATTGAGAGGAGCCAGATGAGGTGGCTCCGGCATCTGCTTAGGATGCCTCCTGGACGCCTCCCTGGTGAGGTGTTCCGGGCATGTCCCACTGGGAAGAGGCCCCGGGGACATGCTGGAGGGACTATGTCTCTCGGCTGGCCTGGGAATGCCTTGGGATTCCCCCAGAGAAGCTGGAAGAAGTGGCCGGGGAGAAGGAAGTCTGGCTTTCCCTGCTGAGACTGCTGCCCCCACGACCCGACCTCGGATAAGCGGAAGAAAATGGATGGATGGAGTGTAGTTAGAGTATGGAATAGTCTTTGTGTTAGTGTACTTCAAGTTAAAACCTCGGGTTCCTTTAAATCAGAGCTAGATAAGATTTTAACAACTTTAAATATAGTGGTACCTCAGTTCTCGAACTCATTAGAACTCAAATTTCTTAAAAGTCGAACCAACCAGTTCAAAAGAAAAAATGACCTAGAACTCGATCTGAATCTCAGAAGTTGAACCGCGAATGGCGACCTAAGAAAACTTGTACGCGTGGGGGAATGAGTCACGTGGCACGTGTGTCAGCGGAAACAAAGGTTAACGCTTCAGTCTCAGCCTCACATTCGCTGTGATAGCATCGTGCATGTTTACACTAGCTGAATACATATATTTAGACAGTAAAAATACATTTAGACAATGACAGTAACAGTAATTATATAATAAAATACATTTAAAAATAAAGATTTCGTATTTTAATATCATTAATAATAAACCATTAATACATTTAATTATAATAATATTGTCGTGCCGAGCGGGGACAGATTGGAGACAAAGGCGCAGACGTCAGGGTGTCGGGGGAATACGGGGTTTAATTACAGGTAAGGCAGGCAAAACACAAATGGACAATACAATGACCAGACTGGGGAAACAAACTGAAATGCGAACTAAATACATAGGACTAATGACAACAACCAGAAACAGCTGATCGGGGCAGTACACATTGTTTGGATACATTTATTTTCTCACTTTACAAATTAATACTGTTTTGATAAATGTGCTTAGATGTGTTTAGTACAGTATATGCTCTTGTTTTATCCTGTTCAGAAAACATATTTAGGTTGGGGCTGGGAACTAATTAATAGGTTTTCCATTATTTCTTATGGGGAAAGTTTGATCAGAACTCGAACTTTTAAGGATTCAAACCCGAGTTCTGAGGTACTACTGTAATTAGTTTAATTCTACCCAAAAGCGAGCATGATGGGCCAAATGGCCTCCTCTCATTTTTAAACTTATGCTTTTCTGTAATGGGATGTCATAAAAGTTCCTGTAGGTGTAATAGTCCGGTGTCCCAATACTTTTGTCTATTTGGGGCACTTTTTCACTACACCAAATACGGTACTTTTGGTACTTTCACTTTTCCATTGACTTCTGGTCGAGTACCAGAACCAAAAGCTCCAATGTCAAAAGAGCCAAACCAGCTGGAGTACTTCTTTAGTATTTTGGTACTTTGGGGTAGGACTTCAACTGACAAAGAAAGCATTTCGTTATGCAAATAGCCTGCCAGTGACAGACAATACAAACGTTGCCCTGAAAACAGTTGCTCAGAAACTCAGAAAACAATCATAAATGAATTTTTTAAAAATTTCATTGTGATCTGGTCGGAGGAAGATACACAACAAAAAGATCATAAGCCCATCTAGTAGTTATGAAAATGATTACGACTGTTTTGGGGAATGCATGCAACACTCATGCAAAAACAGCGGAGGTAAAAAGCAGGATATTACACAAAGCAGGATATTACCTGGACAAGACACCAGTCTATCACAGTCACACACAAAATCCAAAACTAAGGGCAGTTTAGTTCACCTGATCTTGTGTTTTTTGTACATTCGGAAAATTCTGGGCAATGGCAGAACATACAAAACTGACACAATTTATAGTAATAACTTACTGTGTATTTTATTTTTCTTCTATTTTTGCTTTCCTGTGTTTCTGTGTAATGTGTAACAACTGCAGTTTTGCTTCGTTAATATAAAATGAAGAGGTATGGTTTTCTTAATGAAAAACTGTGTTTGGAATATTTGTCTTTGCAACCATTAGTGATATTTTTTTAAATAGCTAGGACTTTCAGAAACTGAATATTCATTAAATTGTCGTCTTGTTCATTCATAGGTAACCCAGGAGATTTCTGATCAAAGTAGGGTGTTCCGATTGCTGGGATCTGACAGGTACAAGACATCCTGGAATATTTACATTTTTAGCAAACATTACATGAATAGATGTCATGATGCCCTCTGACACAAAACACAAAATTACATAAAATGTTATAAACTAACTTTAATGGCATATGAGTTTTCACAGGCCACAGAACCTTGCACATGCTTTATGAATACACAAACATCTTGCAGTTTTTTTTCTTTGGTCGGACAGTACATCCCAGATGAAGTGGCTCTGAAATTTCATGTAATTCATACATTACACAATGGAAAAAGATATGGTGTGTGTGATGCAGTTAGAGGTGGACAATCTTCCCAAAAAATCATATCGCAATCTTTATAACACGCAATTACGATCCATGATCTGAATTGCGATATTTCTTCTCAGTTTTGAAATGTACCGTTAAAAATACCCTGATCAAACAAGCCCAAGGACTTACCTATTAGCATCACTTAAAACATAATTTTGCATTAAAGACACTGTTTTCAAAGTGGTAATTAAATTAAATCTTATTTTAAATACTATATAAAGCCATGTCAGATGCTTTCTTTTAAGGTGGCTGAATATATTTGTTGTATTACCTCTGCAAGTGTCGATCGTAGCCCAACCAATTTTACAGATAACTTTGCTTTTTGTAATATCTGACCGTGCACGATGGATTCACACCTCATGTGTCTGCATGTGCAGCATTACACTTTACAACATATTTTATGACGGTAACCAATTTTTGCAACTTCATTTCATATTTTCATGACCCAATGCAAGGTGTTTCTCAATACCAAGAACAAAAAGTCCATATTCGTGGTCTCGTGGTCAAGACTAATCAAACAAACTTGGGCCACAACAAATCATGGTCTCGTTTGGCGAGGATCCAACCAAAGTATCCCTGATATTTTGGGTGGGGCAAGAACGACATCCAGGGATTTTTACCATCCTCTGTACTTCTGTTCTTGAAATTGGAACTGCCCTTCGGCAATGGAAGATGACATAAAAAGGGTACAAGAGAACACAAATACAGTGATGTATGCATATTGAGAAACACCCCTGGTCCCATCATTTCTTTTCACTACATTAGGTTCAGTTTACAGTCTGCGTATGAGCAATCTTCACCAGCCCAGAATGACATATTAAGTCACATATCCCGATTTTGGGTTCTTTGTGTTCTCCGTCTGTTCAATGAAAGTTCTGCATAGCACCTGTACTTGCTTGAGTGTATGGGTCTTGTTAGGTACCCTGGTCATGGTGGGTGATTGTATATGTCCTTTCGTTTCAGAGTGAACCAAAGCTATAAGTATACCAAAATACTATGTCGCTGAGCAGCAGAAATTTCAACTGATGGAAATATAAACTAATATTTCATATATGGGATACTTAGTTGCAACAAGTAGATAGAAATGGATGACTGTTGTGAACATTTAAAATGAAAAGCAAAGAAAACATTTATTTTTTTCCCAGTCAGCAAAATTATTAACACCAGTTCTTGCTAAACAATAAAGCCACCCCTGTAGTTTAATGTAAATATAGAAAATAGTTTTCCGTAAAATGGCTTGATAAACAGATCTGACAGTACCAGGAAATATAATGCAGTGCAGAATTGGAGGTACAAATCAGGCTGGTGATATGGATCATGCCTCATTCTACTAGATGATTGGCCAATTTATATCATGTGTCTCTATCACAGGGCATCTCATGTGATATATTTGAAAAAGAGTTCAATGTGAGGAACTGAGGAAGTGTGGTATGAATCGGGTAGTGACACATTATTACTGGCCATCGAAGTTTTATGTGAAGTTCCGAAGTATTAGAAAGAGGACATAAAACATCACAATCTCTGCGATTCACATGAAAAGTAGATCATGAATGTCTTCCAAATTGCACACCCCTAGCTGCAGTTAAATCATGTGTTTGTGTATGTGTGTTCATTTTTTTCCATGCTAAATTGCATATTTTGCATGTCACCTGATGCTGGCCATTTAAAGATATTTTCCACGTTATTCTTTAATGGGGCAAATTGCGAATTAAGGATCTATTCTCTATATCTATTGTGACTATTCTTTCTGCTCTTACAGGGTGGTGGTCCTGGAAAGTCGGCCAACAGACAACCCCACAGCTCTGAGCAACCTTTATATACTCGCTGGCCATGAAAACAGTTATTAGTAAAACTTCCTGCTTCCACTAAGAAGATTGTTGGTGGTGGCAGCAGAACATGGGGCCTTCATTTTGTTAGGAGATGCCGAGTAAAACTTAGTGTTTTACATAGATGTTCTGTAAACACATACATATGCCCCTTTTCATTCGTGCACATAGGGCAGCCTTTGACTACAGGGTGACAGGTGTGATGTGTCAGTTCTGAGGCAGCTTTAGGTAGTTTGTGGGCCATTGTGTGAATTTCAGTACCTAATCAATTCCCACACAGCCATACACATTTAAAAATAAGCCCATGCTGGAATAAATGGTAAGTAAAATATATAAACAGGTTTGCATATGTGCCATATATTCTATGCTCATTAAAGTGAGATTGGCATTTGAAAAATGTGTCTTAGAAAAACAGTACATCCAACGATGTTAATCTGAATTAGAAACAAAAAAAAAATGAAATAATATTAATTTTATAATACATGGTTCAACTGGCTAATGTAAATTATTTATTGAATTACAAGTGTATTTACTTTAACAGTGTTAAACTTGACAGTGTTTTGGGAGACAGATGGCACAGCTTCTCTGGGATTGAAATACTTATCAAAAGTTGAAATACTTATCAAAAGTTTCCTGAGGAGCTTTGCATTATGTATGGCTTTTGTAATATAGAACTGCTTCACTCTTCTTGATTGTCTTTACTTTGAGTATTTGAATATAGTATAAATTAAACTTGTACTGGCTTGTTACATTTGCTCAGTGTGCATTATATAAGCAGCTTTGTAGATTTTTGTGATATAAAGCTTGGTCTTCATATCTGCATTTTCCTTCAATTACTAATTTTATACTACATTAATTCAATTTTATAATACCTGTTATGTTTTACGAATATATACAAACACATAATATAGGATAAGTTACAGATTAATGCTGCACTTAAATATACTGCTCAAAAAAGTGAGCACTTTGGAAACATATCAGATCTCATTGGGGGGGAAAAAAATCCTACTGGGTATCTATACTGATATGGACTGGATAATGTGTTAGGAATTAAAGGATGTCACATCGTTTGATGGAAATGAAAAATATCAACCTACAGAGGTCTGAATTCAAAGTAAAAAAATTATGTGGCAGGCTATTAAATTTCATTGCAGCAACTGAAAATCGTACTCAGTAGTTTGTATGGCCCCCACGTGCTTGTATGCATGCCTGACAACGTCGGGGCATGCTCCTAATGAGACAATGGATGGTGTCCTGCCAGATCTGGACCAGGGCATCACTGCGCTCCTGGACAGTCTGAGGTGCAACCTGGTGGCTCGGATGGACCAAAACATAATGTCCCAGAGGTGTTCTATTGGATTTAGGTTATGCAAACGTGGGGGCCCGTCAATGGTATCAATTCCTTCATGTTCCAGGAACTGCCTGCATACTCTCGCCACATGAGGCCGGGCATTGTCGTGCACCAGGAGGAACCCAGGACCCACTGCACCAGTATAGGGTCTGACAATGGGTCCAAGGATTTCATCTCGATACCTAATGGGAGTCAAGGTGCTGTTGTCTAGCCTGCAGTGGTCTGTACGTCACTCCATAAATATGCCTCCCCAGACCATCACTGGCCCAGCACCAAACCGGTCATGCTGAACAATGTTACAGGCAGCATAACGTTTTCCATGGCTTCTCCAGACCCTTTCACATCTGTCACATGTGCTCAGGGTGAACCTGTTCTCATCTGTGAAAAGCACAAGACGCCAGTGGTGGACCTGCCAATTCTGGTATTCCATGGCAAATGCCAATCGAGCTCCATGATGCTGGGCAGTGAGTACAGGACCCAGTAGAGGACGTCAGGCCCTCAAGCCATCCTCATGCAGTCTGTTTCTGATTGTTTGGTCAGAGAATTCACACCAGAAGCCTGCTGGAGGTCATTTTGTATAGTTCTGGCAGTGCTCATCCTGTTCCTCCTTGTACAAAGGAGCAGATACCGGTCCTGCTGATGGTTTAAGGACCTTCTACGGCCCTGTCAAACTCTCCTAGAGTAACTGCATGTCTCCTGGAATCTCCTCCATGCCCTTGAGACTGCTGGGAGACACAGCAAACCTTCTGGCAATGGCATGTATTGATGTGCCATCCTGGAGGAGCTGGAATACCTGTGGAATCTCTGTAGGGTCCAGGTATCTCCTCATGCTACCAGTAGTGACACTGACCGTAGTCAAAAAGGATGAATTCAGCTCATTTTACGCTTATGAACACCCCCACTAGAGCGTCACGGTGGCGTTTCAATACGTCTCTTTTACAAAATGAAGAGTTTTGCACCTTTCTAAGAACTAGCTTGAAGACTTTCATAGAGATCAATACAGGTTCAGTAGATGACCCCAGGTTTTTATGGGATGCCATCAAGGGTTCCATCAGGAACTCAGCTATTTCTTTTTCATCTTATCTTAAGAAAAAGAGACTTCAGAAAATAAGTGAACTAGAAGACATTCTTGCCCAACTTGAGTCAGAACTACAGAATACACAGATCGATGCCCTGTTGGGGAAAATATCTGTAACAAAGACTGAGCTGAATTCTCTATTGAGACAGAGGGCGGAGTTCCTAATACATAGAACCAGAAGAAATTATTATTTCAATGGATCTAGACCGAGCCACTTGCTAGCTTTACGACTGAAACAGAATGAGAAATACTCTAATATCATGGCTATTCAAACACCTACAACCACTTTAACCGAACCTGGTGAAATTAATATGGAATTTAAAAATTTCTATTCTACCCTTTACTCTTCTGAAATAATCCTAAACAACGATCTCTGTCAAAACTTTTTCCATGACCTCAATCTTCCTACTCTTCCTAGTTACGACCTGGGGAAACTTAGCGCTCCAATTACATTGGAGGAGTTGAGGAATGCTCTTGGTAGTATGAAGAAGGGAAAATCCCCTGGTTGGGATGGTATTCCACCTGAGCTATATCTTGTCTTTTGGGACATACTTGGCCCACCGCTGTTGGACATGATCAATACTGCTATTGACAAAGGAGCTTTCAATTCAGGAGTCAACACGGCAATAATTACATTATTACTTAAACCAAACAAGGATCCTTCACAATGTGGTAATTACAGACCCCTATCACTTCTGAATGGGGATGTGAAATTGTTTGCCAAAGTGCTTGCCTCACGACTTGAAGGATTTTTGACAAAATTAGTTCATAATGATCAGACTGGATTTATTAAGAGCAGATTAGCATCTGACAATATACGCCGGCTCCTACACATTATTCATGCAGCACATATGATTGATTTCCCTTGTTCAGTTCTATCGCTTGATGCTGAAAAAGCATTTGATCGTTTGGAGTGGGATTATCTTTGGGCTACTTTGGACACTTTTGGATTAGGCTCAGATTTTATTAGAATGATTAAGGTCCTGTATGCAAACCCCTCTGCTATGGTATATTCGAATAACGTTTTCTCCTCTCAGTTTCCCATATCAAGGGGCACCCGTCAGGGCTGCCCCCTGTCTCCCCTACTTTTTGCCCTTTCGCTTGAACCACTGGCTCAGAAAATTAGACAACACCCAGATATAGTCCCTATTTCCTTCAGTAATACTGAACACCGTATATCATTATATGCAGATGATATTCTTCTTTATGTTGGTGACACGGGTTCCTCTCTTCCACATTTATTATTCACCTTTGATAAATTCAGCTCATTATCTGGATATAAGATCAATTGGACTAAGTCTTCATTAATGCACTTGAATTCAGTTCATTCTGCTAGGCCTCTGCCCCCTAGTATCCCAGTGGTGAATCAGCTTAGGTATCTCGGAGTTGATATTTTCCCTTCTATATTTCGCATTGCATCTCATAACTTTCAGAGCATATATAATCAAATTGAGAAGGATATAGAGCGTTGGTCAAAGCTTCCAAATTCTTTACAAGCCCGCATATCAGTAGTTAAAATGGACATTCTTCCCCGCGTAAATTTTTATTCTTCAATGATTCCCCTCCCTCCCTCTAAGGGTTATTGGGATAAATTACATTCTCTTATATCGAAATTTATATGGAATGGGAAGAGACCGCGTCTTAGAATAAAAACCCTCCAACGGGATAAGACACAGGGCGGATTGGGTTTACCAAACTTTAAGATGTACTTCTGGGCTTTTGTGCTTCGACCAATATCTACATGGTTTAACCCGGTATCCTCGGTCTCCTGGAAATTAATTGAGGAGAATATCTCTCAGCCCTATAGGCTTCAAGATTTAGTGTATTCTAACATACCATCTAAAGAGGCTAAGTCACGTCTAGGCCCTATAATTTCCTACCTACTTAGGATTTGCCATACAGTGATGAACCATACTAAGGTAGATTTAAAATGGCATAAGCACTCTCCCGTATTTAATAGTTTCTCTCTACTTATTGGGAAAAAACCCATCTCTTTTCCATCATGGAGAAATAAGGGTGTGAATGTTTTCAATGACCTGTTTGATGAAGACGGTTTGCGTGCTTTTAGTGATCTACAAGCTGAATATGACCTACCTGGTGCATCATTTTTCTTTTATTTGCAATTGAGATCTGCCATGAAGGCATATGGTGTCCCTTGGGGCGTTCCACTGCTGACCCATCCGTTGCATCAGTTATGTGCGCCACAAAAACAAACCCGAGGGTTGGTTTCCAAACTCTACAAATTTATCTCTGACCCTCGTACACCGCTGCCAGCAGAGAGTGTGTGGCGTAGGGACCTCACATTGGTTGGAGAGGAAGAAATTTGTTGGGACACAATATGGGACACAATATGGGACAATCTATATGACACCTCCAAAAACCCTGACCACCAATTAATACACTATAAATTTATACACAGGATGTATTTAACCCCCAGGAAGCTCTACGCTATGAAGATTATTACATCTCCTAATTGTGACCTTTGCACACTCAATGCTGTTGGGTCATTTATGCACATGTATTGGGATTGTCCCAATGTGTCTGCTTTCTGGAAACAAATCTCCGCTACCTTGAGTGATTTGCTTGAGGTCACTGTCCCCGTTTCTCCTTCCTTACTCCTGCTCAATGACGATTCCAGTTTAGAACTCTCTCTCCAACAAAGACGCATACTGTTGGCTGGACTCACTGCAGCTAAGAAAATGTTGGCATTGCGATGGCAGCCACCTCATGTTTTGTCATGGCAACGATGGGCCAACTCCTTGTTAGACATTGTTATGATGGAGAGATCCGTAGCCCGGATGCATGTAGCCAGTCAGAAAACAATCATTTCATGGGATGCAGCTTATAATCTGATCAAAGAACGAGTGCAGTGCAATTATTCATAAGGAACTAGATGATTTGTGTTTTTGTATTGTATTTACATGTATTTTCTCTATTTGTATCATACTCTGAGATCCAGGGTGGGATGGTTAGGGTGTCGCCGAGGGGGGGTTGGGGGGAGGGTTTTTGTTATTGTTATTGTTATTTTATTTTTATATTGTCTTTACTGTGTATTTCATGGCTATTCTGTGTTGTTCATATCTCTGAATATACACAATAAAAATATTTGATCAAAAAAAAAAAGGATGAGGAGAGAAAAATGGAGTGGCCTCTACCTGTTAAACCATTCCAGTTTCGGGGGTCGTGTCATTGTTGCCCCTCTAGTGCACCTGTTGTTAATTTCATTAACACCAAAGCAGCTGAAACTGATTAACAACCCCCTCTGCTACTTAACTGACCAGTTCAATATCCCAAAAGTTTAACTGACTTGATGCTATACTCTGATTAAAACATGTTCCTTTAATTTTTTTGAGCAGTGTATAAACATTGTGAACGACATGTCAAGGTTCATTATCTTAAAGAACATTTGAAAATATTATAATAAGATTATAATTTAAGAACATACATTATTGATTTTTTCCCCCAAGGCATTTGATTTATTGATCCTCAGTTCAAGTAACACACGTTATAAGCTCATCACTTGGGATATAAACTTTTAACAGGAAGGTCATTCAGTTTTATTTCAATTTCCAAAAAAAATGTTTGCATCACCATTTTTGATTTTGATTTAATTTGGCAAACTGAATTATACATACATTCTACAGCTCAACAATGTTTTAAATTCACAAAAACTAAATGAAAAAATGCAGATCATGAGATGTACTTTTGGCCTTGAAAAAGAAACAAACTTCTGTACTCTTTTGAGCTTTCCAAAGAGCTAAAGTTGAGCCATGTAGTTGTAATAGTAAGAGTTACAGCTCATAACAAAACATTTTGAATTATAATTATTTTGCTAGCTGCTGTATATAAAAGGCATAACTTGAAGGGATTTTTTTCATCAAAATGGTGATGCAAAGGTCATTTGTTGAATTAAAATGAAACAACCCAGGAAAAAGGTCTGAGTTCATGTTTTCCTTGAATATAAAGTAAAATACTGATTAGTCTACCTTAATTTGATAGCAGAAATTGACAGATTATGCTGTCCATAACGGCGGCAAAAGGAGACATTTTACTAAAAGGGCTGTTGCGATATAGTAGGTTTCTGCATTCTTGGCTTTCCAAATAGCTGTTGATACCCAGCACCATTCGTAAAAATAAATCTGGGCAATGCCAGATTTTATTTTTTTTTTAAACAAATTTAGTTTGAAAGTGGTGTTGATCTACCCATCCATCCCTTTGCAAACCCTCCACAACCTGTACAGGATAAGCATCCAGATTGGCTCAAAATATTACAAAAACTGTAATAAACCCAAATACCGTATTCTTACTAGAAGTTTACATGGTTTAATCATGGATCAAGTTGTTCTTATTTACAGAAAATACTCTCTGTCAGAATAATATGCCTGTTTTCTTAGGATTTGTGTTTCCAGCAATTCTCTGCTCTATCAGTAGCAGCATACTGGGAAAATTATGAATATTGCCTTGTTAACTTTACCAAACATTTTAACTGAATTGTATTGGAATTTCAGGTTTTCATCAGAGGAATTCCTTTACAAAGACACTATGATTATGTGTATTAGAGTAAATAAAAATGGTCTGTGACAATGGCTAGGAAACATATGGTCTACAGGCCTACAACATTACACAGCACTGCACCTTTGTTCTTAGTAAACTGTTTAAAGTTTACTCGGTGCACATTGTAACTCAGAAACCTGCTCACACCATGGCTATACACAAAATAAGTTCTCAAATTAATGTATCATTTAAATCTTGGTTTAAGTAAATTCAAATCATTCACATTTACAACACATTTTTTTATGGACAGCTTTGAAACTAGACAGTGAAGTCTTTTTACCCTGATCTGAAAAAGCAATATAATACTGACAAAAAGATTTTCTTGACTGCTGTCACTTGTTCCATCCTTTCCCATAAGTGAATCCTTTCCCTCCTTCCTTAAGTGAATTACATAGTTTCTACATTTTGTTATACTTTCATATACTTCAGAAAAGTGTTTCAGCTTAAAAACTGATTACACTGAAAGATCACAACAGTTCCTCCATAATAGTCAACTTGGGAAGGGCTGTGTGCAGTGTCCTTATGGTCATCTTCTCCTTCACCCCTGGAAGGTCCTGGAGAAACAGGTGCTCCAGGTTTCTACAGCAAACCACACAAACAACTAGTCCTACTCATTTCAGCTAAGTAGTGGTTGCAGAGATTTTTTATATAATTTACAATTGTCTGTGAAGATTCTCAGTCAATAATTTACAATTATTTTCAATAGTGGTGCACCAATCAATCAATGCTTCACTGCAACTGTTAATCAAGTTCTCTCTTGGAGCCACATTTAAGGAGGTTGGCTACAGAGCATCAAGGTCTCAGGAGATGTACCCCTTGGACTGCAGCCAAGCATGCATAATCTTGACTTTCCACCTCAGATAGTTCTCTGGTTTTCTTTCTTTATTCTATGCTCACTGTTGTACATATAATGGCTTTGAACAGGAAAGTGTCCTTTTCCCTAATCAGAAATTTATACTACTGGAACTGCAGATGAATACCTTCTAAGTAAATTAGAATCACCTGCTTGACATCTAAGGCCTGCTAGAAGGAGCCAAGAACACAGTTGGGGGCATTTTAGAATTTCTCATGCAATTTATCATAAATTACTACTATTTTGTTTGTCCCACTACAAATCCCAACAAAAAATGTACCAATCAATTTTAACAGTTTATTGGAAAGTAATTATTTGTGAACAGATGCAAAAATTTTGGGTCACAACTCCATCTAGAAACTACTACATTTCACAGATTTCACATACCTGAGTTTGTGCAGGGCAATGATGCCTCTGTCAGTCACATTGCCACAGGAGATGAGCTCCATTTTACGTAGACTGCACTGTAGGTTTTCAATTTTGCTCAGTCTCTCTAAACAAGTATCTTCTATATAAACACACTTGTTAAACCGTATCTCCTCTAAGTATTTCAGACCATCTAAAAGGGAAAAAAGGGAAAAAATTATTCCTCATATCCATCTTTAAGCAACAGTGAATATTTCCAGCATCTTATTTTATATTTTTTGATCATACTGGTGACAGACTGCAAGTGGTTTCTTACACCATCCATGAATCTATACTTGACCTTCTAAATCTGTTGCTGATTATATCTTGTGAAATGGTAAACACCAGTTTGCAATAAAAATCATTTGTTTTTGATAAAGAAAAAAAACTTATGATATGGTTTCATTGCAGGTATCTTTATAAGATGATATACATTGCAGATATCTTTATAAGATGATATACACTGAAACTGATTAAATGTTCTTTTTCATTAAAATGCCATGAATTGCCACCTCATCATGGTGGAGGAGTTTGTGTGACTCTGTGATCCTATGACCTATGCCGTCGGGCAATTGCCCCCGCTAGTCTCCCAAGGCAAATTGGTCCTAGGTGAGTGGCCAGACAGACAGCAAGGACAAGTTACAGCTATGGGACCCTGCCCAGGGGTGCGCTTTCCAAAGCTCCCATTGGCAAACTACATGGCTTTTGGGAAACGCACCCAGATTTGGGGGACCAGGGCCCCATCCTGGAGTGAGGCCTGGGTGGGGGCTCAAAGTTGAGCGTTCATTGGCTGGGTTTCTACCCATAGAGCCCAGTGGGGCGCATAGCCCGAAGCAATTACATGGGTCTGGCCTTCTGTGGGCCCACCAATGGGAGTTTGGTGCAATGTAGATCACGTGGCTGTCGAAGGCAGGGGCCTCGCCAGACCGATTGTCAGCTACCAAATCTGGCTCTAGGAACATAGAATGTAACACCTCTGGTGGGAAAGGAGCCTAAGCTGGTACAGGTGGTACAGTGATATTGACTTGATATAGTCAGGCTCTGGAACCAACCTCTTGGACAAGGGCTAGACTCTATTCCACTCTGAAGTTGTCCATGACGAGAGACACTGGGCAGGTGCAGGTTTACTCATGGCCCCCAGTGCACCTGGCACTAGAGAACCCTAGCCCGCAGTTCAAGGTTTGATTTTGCAACTGTATAGTCGGATCTGAGACCGCATGTGTTGGACACTTCAGTGAACTGAGAAGCTGAGCTGTCAACTGATCACCACCTGGTGGTGAGTTGGATCAGATGGCAGGGGAAAATGCCAGATAGACATGGCAGACCCAAAGGCATAGTGATGGTGTGCCAGGAGCATCTGGCAGAGGACCCTGTCAGAGAGATCTTCAACCCACACTTCCAGCAGAACTTCTTTCTTTTCCTTCCTTCCCGATGGAGGCTGGAGATATTGAGCCTGAATGGGTGATGTTCTAGGTTCTGGGCTGCTATTGCTGAGGTGGCTGTGTGGACCTGTCGTTGTAAAGTTGTTAGTGCCTGTCACAGTGGAAAACCCCAAACCCAGGGGTGGACACCAGCAGTAAAGGGAGCTGTTAAGCTGAAGTTCCTGAAAGTGTTTGATATCGTCCAGCAACATTGCATGGAGGTTGTGGACAGTGACTTTGGACTGAAGAACTGGGGTGGTGGTCCCAATCTTTAAGAAAGGAAACAGAGTATCTGTTCTAACTTCAGGGGGATCACAATCCTCAGCCTCCTTGGGAAGATCTATGCCAGGGTACTAGAGAGAAGCGTCTGTCTGTTGATCAAATCTCAGATGCAGAAGGAACAATGCGGATGCCGTCCTGGTTGGAGAACACTGGAGCAGCTCATCACCCTCACAAGGACAAATTAGGGTTCATGGGAGTTTACGCAACCAGTCTACATGTGTATAGTGAACTTGAAAAGGCATACGAGTGAACCCCTCAGGGGGTCCTGTGGGGGGGTGCACCAGGAATATCGGGTATGGGCATTGTTGCGGACTATCAGATCCCTAAACAAATGGAGCGAGAGTTTGCTTTGCATTGCTACCAGTAAGTCAGACTCGTTCCCGGTGGGTGTCTGCAATGACATTAATGAAGCTTCCATTACATTTTATTGTAGCAGATTTGTAACCTTAATTAATGTTACTTACACCTGTGCTTCTTATACTATTTCATGTCAGTTTGGCTGCCATTAAAAATTCCCATTAGTGATATGAAATCATGCAACTCTACCTTTAAGTCAGCAACAACTCAAAAACCAAGGACCAAATTTTCTGGCATGTTCATGACATTATGATCTAGCTTTAGTAAAAAATTAATAAATTTTGAAATATAGGTTTTTTTGTTGAATTTTTTATATTTTAATCAGTTATTACATAGTATTCATTCATATGGGGATAGCATATTTGTTCAATCTATAGAGCTGGACAATAGCTTTAAAACAATATAAGGACCACTTCTGTGCAACTTACATTAAGGTAAATAAAAAAAATAAATAAAAAAAAAAGTTAGTTCGCTTAAATATCCCTCAATATTGATCCTAGGCACGCCCAATTTCAGTTTCATGGGTTACTCATGTGACCAAATCAGCATGCCAAGTTTTAAAAGCCGTGATGAGGTGCGAAAGTGTGATTTGACATGGAATGACCCATGTAATTAGGTAAAATTACTTTAAACTGGTGCCTCTATTTGTAACTGAATTGTATTTTTACTGAATATGTCTTTTTTTAATTATTGTTCTAACAAGCAAAGCATCTGTGGCAGCAGCAGACAGGTGCTAAAAGCACATTCATACCCTGAAGTCCAAGGAATACAATAAAATTATAGCGAACTAGTGGGAGGAGAGGGGGAAAAAATAAATAAAAAAAAATGGAGGGAGGCAGGGTACCCTCCACAATAAAAAGACCTCTGCATTTCAATTATGGAGTTGTGTCCCCCCATATCAAACTCTGCTTATGCCCTGGACAAGTAATTGATTCTGATTGGATGTTCTTCAGTCACTTGGGTTAGTTGTTGAAATTAAATTGCATACAAGTGATTGTGGTTGCTTTCTTTTCATTCCTGCTATAGAATGCCTGACACTCACCCAAATGGTCAAATCCCCGGTACATGATACAAGACTCTGTAGCATCAATGGCCTCAATCTTGTATCTGCCCAAAGGGCCAGTGGGCAACCCATTGTAGTCCTGCTGCCAGCGATCAAAGCCCTGATACCTCACTTTAGCTCCACATCGCAATAGCCATTCTGATGCTGCACGGTCTGGACCCACTTTCTTAATTCGATCATAATCCACTCTGGAAAATTAAAAATCCAAGTTACATTTAAATACTTCCTCAGTAATAGTCGGTAGTACACTTGTGTGCATTTTGTATATTATATAAAGATGTAGGGCTAGCATTCCCCCCCGTTACTAAAGGCAACTGAAAAAGAAACAGTTTCCATTCGTCTGTCGTGGCAGAAACGTTCAAAGCTCTTAGAAATCTTACTTGTTGAAAACGGCATTCAACCAACTCCAAAACGGTCTAGCGCTTGCTTTTGGTGTGGCCATCTGGAGGGCCAGGGGTGTGTGTGCAGCCTTGACCAACAGGATCATCATTGTTGCCTTCAAAAGTCTGTACGTTTAACGAAAATTAAAAAAAAATGTTAAATGTTACTTTTATCGACGGTTAAAGGCGGAAAATTGGCACTTGGGATGTGTGAAATATTAAAACAGTAGCTTTAAGACCGCTTTTAATTGCAGTTTAAATTTTTAATTGCATGTAAACTGAGCGGAGGATTCACAATATCCAAACCACAGATACAAATTGGTTCTTTATTACAAAAAAAAAAAAAAAGAGTGGTATTTGCACAAAACAAAAAACAGTTACCACTGGTCCACATTTTTTAGTACTGGCCATAATTAATCGGTTTAGCTTCCGCTCGGTCACACACAAGCATTTAATACACTGAACATGTCTCTCACAAATACAAGTGTTCCACTCAGTGACATGCACATTAATTCATACTCTGACACTGGACATGTACCAATAAACCGTGAACACTTCAAACGTATGCCAGTAAGACTTTGCAAAAACCCCTTTTAGCAGTGCTAACACACGAAACAAAAGACAAGAAAAGAAATTTAAAAAAGTTAATCCGCCCGGACCACGCCACCCTTCGACTACTCACGCGGCGGACTAACAAAAGAAACCATACAAACTAAAAACATAGAGCAGCGGCAAACTATAACATAACAAAACAACATTTAACATACGCAAATGGCTGCACTACCAACATTTCAATAACTAAACCACGTACCTTTTACAATAAATCTTTATTTCATCCAACAGGCACACATGGCAGTTCATGCTAAAAAAAAAAAAAAAAAAAAAAAAAAAAAAAAACACTTTAATAAAATGGACTGTTACAAGTATCCCTTTCTTAGCTTATAAAAATGCTGCTTACCAAGGCTGAGAGGTGCTCTCGCACAAACAGGAACCAGTCGACCGTCACTGTTTCCGACCCCCCCGAAACCTACCCAAACTATTGGTTCCTGACCCTTTTATACCCGCACGCCTCCACACCCACCATTAGCATAATAAACTAAACACTTACACAGCCCCACGGGCTACATACATTTTAATAAATTTGTTTTTTTCTAATTCAATACAATTATCTGAGCAGGCAGAAAAACCAGAATCACAGATCAAATGTGTGGACGTATATGCAGACAGTTCATTCACTGAATTGACAACTATTTCTGAACATAGAGTGTGCAACCAGATGTTTTCTTTCGAACGGATTAATAGTTCAACAAGATATCCCTTTATCACACGCCTGCTCGGTAAGTCAACCAAAAGCTGAGTACTTATCTGCAAAGCTGTGTCAATATCACTGCTCGATTAGTAGCTCCTACCCGATTTGCAAGTCGCACGTCCGCGCATGCGTACCCCACATAACATTTTATGGCACTGCCGCTATGCTAAAGGTCAAGCAAGTATACAGCATATAAACAGATGAAGTATACAACAGACTAGAGTAATATAAACAGCCAGGGGTGTTAATTATACAAGACATTCTCCCACCGTAAGGAAAAGTCCCTTAAAATATGGTTCACAACTAACCTGCTAAATTCCTTCCAAAACCTCTGTATGAAAGAGCAGTACAAGAAGAGATGAGTCACAGTTTCCAGATGATCCCACAAAAACTGCAGTTAATATTTATTTCTCTTTTACATTTTACCATATAGTGCTTATAGCTGGATAATGGTTTATAATGGTTTATAAGCGGTTTATGGAGAACTTTAAACGACACTTCCTTCACCTTATTTACAATTAAATATTTATGGGGATCATCCAGACTGTTTTCCAGTTGATGTCTGGAACATAACGGTTCCAATAAGATGTTACATATGGGAGAGAGACGATATCCCTTTGGAACAAACCGTGCACTCTCTTATTGCTATTACTAAGCTCCTGTGAAAAACAGATTTTTCCCACTATTGACTCAGCTGGGTCAGGGAGGGTGACTGAAGTAGATAGACAGCTGTCAATGTTTTTATACAGCATTAACGTACCTGGGGGTATGGCCCCAAGCACCATTGAAAATTCCCGGGGACTAACTGGAAAATTGTATAATGAAAGGAATTCATTGTACGTGAGTAGTTGTCCCTCTCTATTAACCAGCTGAGCCACCAATAGGATTCCATTTTGAACTCATGATTCAAGGAATAGTGATGTATTTTTATATAAAAGATCTTTATTGTTCCAGATGAGGTATTTATGTGGTGAGAAGTTGTGTTTATAAATATGAGGGTCAACGCTAATAGGACCTGCTTTTGGAAGGATGAAAGTTTTACAGAGAGTTTCTCAAAATTGTAATTACAATTTAAGATAAAGTTAAAGCCACCAAAACGAGAGAAAATATAATGTGGTATAAGGTTCCAGATAGAAGCAGGATTTTTAAGAAAATGTTTAGCCCAATTAATTTTGTATGTGTTATTCAAGGTAGTGAAATCCAAAAAGTTAAGCCCACCTGAGTCATAGTTATTCATCAGAACGGTTTTCCTAATATAATGTGTACGATTTTTCCATATAAAGTTAAAAAGCATGCGGTCAATATCATTACTAATCTTCTTATCCAGGTGCAAGGAGAGACTAGCATATGTCAATTGGGATATCCCTTCAGCTTTAGTAAGTAATACTCTGCCTTTCAGAGATAAGTCCTTCTGCAGCCATTGGTTGAGTTTCTTTTGGGTTTTCTGTATAATCGGAGTAAAGTTTGAAGAGCATCTTGACTTTTGGTCTTTGGAGATTAAAAGTCCTAAGTTTGTGACCTCTTGTTTAACAGGGATATTACAGATAACATTTGCAGTGCAGGCTTTAATTGCTAGTGTAACAGGTTGTTATTTTAATTTTGTTTATAATTATACAAGATTCTGTTTTCTTTTTTCTGTTTAACCTGATGGGTACAATATCCCTTAAATTTTCCCATGATGCTCTTGTCCTGCATTGCCCCTCCCACTGTCTTTTCTCCTTTATAAGGGTCCCGATTTTGTTTCCTCTTCCCTTTGTTGTACCGCACACGCGGGAAGAGGTAAGGATCTAGTGGCAGGGTCCCTCGGGTTAATAAATTAGTTATTTGGTATAA